TTCTGAAGAATTCTTATGCTGCTTCTTAACTTGCCTATAAACTCAGGGAGAAGTAGGAGTAAATGGAATGCAGACTTCAGATATCGAGCAGCCGGCCACTGAGAACTAAGGTCTCTCTGAAGTTGTTTACTGAGAACTAAAGATATTCTCTCATAACAAGTGTCTAACACTTAATTGGATAATGTGGTTTGTATGATTAGGGGGAAGGGAAACTTTTAATATACTGATTTAGGCTCCAATTAACTAGAGCTAGTTTTCCTTTCATCTGTGCCAAAATGATGTACTCAATAAAGTTTTGCATTAGAGATTGGAGGTGCTTACTGGGTTCGTCAGTTGGAACCATTTAATCAGCTCTTGTTTAAAATTTAATTCTTGTTTAACCATTTAATCAGCTCTTGTTTAAAATTTAATTCTTGTTTAACCATTTAATCAGCTCTTGTTTAAAATTAAATTCTACCAAGGAGTCCTGGGCTCCTACACCCTATCGAGCTAAATCCAAATGGGTTGTAAAGACTCAAGAGAAGATGCCTGAAATGGAGCAGAAGGGAGAGCAACCAGCTAAAGCCAAGGTGGGAGTGACGAACAGGACACCAAGCAGCAGCAACTCACCTGAAAGTGAAGGTAAAGAAGATGGAGATGCCAGCAATGCTGGAGTAGACTGGGGAAATGGGAATCATTTGCCCCCCCCCCCCCCCAGGAGTGGAGTGGTGGCAAGAAGTGGCATTGAATGCAGCCAAAGCCAAGTTCCCACTAGTCTACTCAGGAGCCAAGTTTGCCCAGGACAAGAGATGGAGGGAGAGGACAGCTTTAGAATGGGAAGGGCCAGTAGAACAGAGATATTTGGCAATGTGCAACAGTCAGTCAGTCAGACAACTGAGAGAGAAGTTCGGCAATCTGGAGGTATGAGGAGCAGAGCAGTCTGGAGACTGGACCCAGCCCCCCAAGAGGGGTCTGGTCAACTTGCAACAGCTGCACTGACTCCGTTGCCACAACCCAGACAAAGAGCTGCAACTGCTGCAGCTGGGGAAACAGCTTCTCTCCCAACCGACTACCTCTTCACAAATTGGTTCAATTCAGGGCAACTGGCCAGCCCCCACAATTTCCAATGTTCAGCACCCAGCCATGGAGGTTCCCTTATGGGCTGGGATGGCCACCAGAGTACTGGGTATCCCAAGTCCCCAGCAGTCTCCACCAATCCAAGACATCTTTCACAGAAATCCAGAGAAGCTGGCATTTTTCTTGAGCCGGGTGTGGTCATAACTTGATTAGCATGGACCAGCATATGCCAATGATGAGGCCTACATGGTCATAATCATGGCAAATCTCGAGGGAGAAGTGGTGGAATGGGTGATGACCCTCCATAAAGAAGGAGCTCCTGAGCTGGGGGATCCTGATGCATTTCTGGGAAAGCACAGAGCCTGATTTGGTGCAACATGCAGACCTGAAGAGAGGAGTCTGATGTTTGTCACATAAGGCAGGGGAGTTGGTCAGTGACAGAGTACATCTGAGAGTTCTGGAGAATTGTGGGGAGATTGAGGCACTGGCCAGAGCAATTCCTGATCCACTATTTCAGAGATAGCTGAAACTGGGAGCAATACCACACATGTCTGCCCAGACTGGTACCAGTTGGTGACTAGACCTGAAGGGCATTGGAGGTTCAGGGCCCACCCAAAGAAGAAGCAACAGAGATGCACACTGGGTGGATCCTGCCTAACTGAGCTGGTGCACCTGAGGCTAGGAGATCATAAAGAGACTATTCGGTTCGTGGTTGCTCTGAAAATGGCTGAGGCAATGATATTAGAGTTGTTTTGGCTATCTAAAATGGTTTCCCAGAATCCTCTGGGAAAAGAACACAAAATGCATGGTAAAGGGTACTTCACCATGCATTTCCCTCTTAGGGAAAATCCAAAATGAGTCCACACCACAGCAAGAGGTGAGGGAAAACCCTGAACGTGGCTATGACCTCCAGAGAAATGGATGAACTCTGAGAGTTGATAGATAAGAACCTAGTGAGGTTCATCCAGCCAGCAAATCAAGAATGACAGACCTGATGCTGTTCAAAGAAAAGAAGAATGTATCCCTTAGACCAGGGCTTTTCAACCTGTGATACGCATACCACCAGTGGTACATTGGCACCTGGCAGGTAGTACATGACCCTGCCTAGCCTAGCCAAATGTAGCCGAGGACGGAGTGAGCCAAAGTGGTGCAGTGCAGGACTTTCTCTGAGACAGAGTCCTCAGGAGCTGTAGGGTGAGACAAAGGCCCCAGGATCAGCACTTCTGGCACACCCAGAAGAGATAGGAGGAGGGCGGAGACAGGAGAGGCTATAAAAGGAGGCAGATTTGATGGGAGAGGGAGAGAAAAGATGCTAGAGAAAGAGTCAGAAGAGAAAAGGCGTTTGTCAGAGAAGCATGAGAGAGAAAGATAGGGAGGGAGGGAGAGGAAAGGCTTTTGGGGAGGTGTGTGTACATGAGAATGAGAAGGTTTTTGGAGAGACATGTGTGTGACAATGGGAAGAATTTGGAGAGATGTGTGTGTGTGTGTGAGAGAGAGAGAGAGAGAGAGAGACAGAGAGAGAGAGAGAATGGGAAGGCTTTTGGAGAGATGTGTGCATGAGAATGCGAAGGGTTTTGGAGGGACATGTGCGTAAGAAAGAGAAAAAAGGCTTTTTGTGAGAGAAGCAGTAAAGAGAAAGGGAGAAGAAAAGAGAAGGAAGGAGATGAGAATGAGAAAGAGGGGTAGGGAAGGAAGGAGGGGAGGGAGGGAGGAAGATAAGAAGGAAGGAAGGAAAGAGATTGGAATGAGAGGGATGAAGGGTCTGAGGGAAGTCCTCCCTTAGCACTTGGCAGCCTTTCTGCCTTGTCACCATTCCCTTGTCCCCTCCTCCTGGCATATCCTGGTGGTCTCCCATCCTATCACTAAGGATGATTTGGTTACAGAATTGGGTCTCCTCGCATGGAGAGGGAGTGGGCCTCCCTCTGACTATGTACTTTGCCCTCCTGCATCCACTATGATCAACCTGGCCAAGGAAAGTGAGCACAGCAGCAACAGCCTTAAAGAGGATGTAAGCACAGCCGGATGCCCCCTTGGGGAAATGGGACTGGACTGGTTTTGGCTGTGGGGTCCTAGTGCCCTAGGAGCTCAAAGGCTGGGCTGGGTGCTTGTCCTCCACTGCCCAGGGCTCTGGGCAGCCTGCACCACCATCTGGGAGTCACCTGCATGGCCCAAGAGGGATGACAAGGTTTCTCTTGTGGACCATGCTCCAGCACCCACCCCAGTCCTACCCCCCTCCACCAGAGACCCCAGGATCCCCCCACAGTCACCCCTGACCTGAGTGATGTTGAGCTGGCCACAGACACCCCGTTCCCCCAACAGTAATCACAGTGCTGATGCAGCCCTCAATGAAATCAAGTTTGACACCCCTGATATAAAAGGAGGAGGGGGGAAAGGAAGGATATAAAAGGAGGGGGAGAGGATATAAAAGGAGGAGGGGTGAGAAATTTGTTAAATAAGTTTCCCCCATTTTGTGACTTTTCTTGCCACATTTGTTAAATGAATTGCTGCAGTTGTTAAATTAGTAACACAGTTCTTAAGTGAATCTGGTCTCCCTATTGACTTTACTTGTCAAAAGGTTGCAAAAGAGGATCACATAACCCTGTGACCATCAAAAATATGAATCAGTTGCCAAACATCCAAATATAAATCATATGACCCTGGAAATGCTGCAATGGTCATAAGTGTGAAAAATGAAGTGAAAAGTTGAAGTGCTTGTTCTCTGTGGAGCCGTCTTGAAGCACCCAGACCCAGAGAAGCTGTTCGTGATACAGGCTGATGTCAGAAATGTAGCAGTAAGGGCAGTTTGGGCAGTTGGAATGCCAAAGGGGAGTTACAACCTTTGCCTATATATCTCACAAGTTGTCTGACACCGAAGGTTGCTGGGCAATCTGGGAAAAGGAGACTTAGGCAATCTGATGGGCTCTCTTAACCTGAAGGCAGTACCTGGAGGGTAGTAAAATCCCCTTTGAGGTCTGGATGGATCACAAGAACCTAGAAGCACTAAAGACTCCAAGAAACTATGCCCTAAACAGGTCCAGTGGGCCCAATACTTTAACCAGTTCAATGTCACTCTCTGGTATATGCCAGGAAAGAAAAACTTCCTTGCAGATGCCCTCTCCTGTTTGCTGCAACACAATAAGCACTGGTGACATCCATCATCCCATCCGAGCAGTTTGAAGCACCGGTTCTTATCTGACAGCAAGCAATGCCTTGGCAGGAGCCAACCCAGAATGTAATGCAACCCTTTAAAATGCCCTAATAAGTGATGAATGGTTCCAGCAGCATAAAGATGACCTAACTGTGAAGTAGGGGCTAGCATAGGAAGGCACCAAAATATATGTCCCAGCCAGCCAGTGGACCTGGATTTTACAGAGGAGTCACAATATTAGAGCAGCGGAACATTTTGGGTTTGTGAAGACCCTGCACATAGTGAAGAGACAATTCTGGTGGCCCAAAATGAAAAGGGCATACCAGCTGCCTATGTGTGCCTCAATGAAATGGATGCCCGGGATGGCTGCTAGGCTGTTGCAGGTGGTAGTCAAATTAATGAACCTCTGGGAGGAAATCTCCATAATCTTTATTGTGGACTTGTGAGAGAGTGCTGGAAACATGTATATGGACCATTATGGACTTGTTCATCAAACAGGTACATTCTGTGGCCGTCGTGGAGAATCTATGGCACATGTGCCACAGGAGGCACACGGAGTCCTCTCTGTGGGCACGTGCGCTATTGCCCCAGTCCTAGGCCTTCAGTACCATCCATGAGGAACCTGCATCAATACCTGTGCAGTGTAAGGTCGTGAGATCTCAAAAAGTTAGAAAGTCTGATGGAACTTTTTTTTTACCAATAGTCCCATAAACATGCAGTGAAGGCTGAGAAGTGAACGGAGAAACAGAATGCAGCTGAAAGGCAGGTTAGTAAAAAAAACGCTTAGGGAGGCGAGGGCATCTGGATGGGGGCAGGCACAGCAACCTTACCCTGCATGGTGGTGGGAGGGTAGGACAATGCCAGGCCAGTCCCTGCAGGCCAGCCAACAGACAGGACTCTGTGTGCCATGCCAGGCCAGCCCCTGCAATCCCGGGGCAGCCATGCTAGATAGTGGTGGGCAGAGTGTTGAGGTGGGGGCTGGCAGGCCGACCAAAGCAGCAGGTGGAGTGCCAGAGCTTGGGGAGTGAGGGTGCTGAAGTGGGCAGTCGGGCCATTGGCAAGAGCAACACATCTGAGTGGAAAGCGGCCTTGGTACAAGTGGGGCAGGTAAGGAAAGAAATCCTCGCTCCCCCAAGAAATTGCCTTTCTTTCCTTACTTGACTTCCAGCCCCGTGCCGTTACTGCTTCGCAATCTGTCACCGCGTGAAAGGAAACAAAGGAAGTTTTTTTGGGAAAGATTGCGAAGTTGGAATTGATTGACTGACCTTTTTTCCCCAAACAAACTTCCTTTGTTTCCTTGCACACGGTGGTGGCAGATTGCTTTTTTTTATTCCCGCAAAAGACGGGCACTCTGCACATGCCCAGAGATGCCAGCTCCAAGCCAAAAAAAGCACCATTCCAAGGCATTGCCAATGAGTAGCATGCATGTGTATGTCTGGGAGTGGGGCAGTCACCTGCAGTCCCAGGAGTGATCCTCCTCCTCCTCCGATCACATGTCGTGTCCCCTCCACATCTTCAGTGAGTGACGTGGGAAGGCTTAATGGTGGGTGTGGGGGGCCCGGGAGGAGCTGTACAAAGCAGGCGGAGGGGAAACCAGGCAGATTGCGGGCACCGCTCCTCACCTCCTCTATGCTGCTGCCGTCGCCACTGCTGGTTTGGCCAAAGTGACCCAGCCATCGCCGCCAGCATCATAGTCCTGCCTGGCTCTACTGCTGTCATGCCACTGCCCCACTCTGGCTCTGGGCAGTGCCTCTGCCCTGTGTGGCTGCCCGCTCATGCCCGCTCTGAACTTGCAATCATCCTCCGAACCACCACCACCACTGATGCTGCCGTAGCTGAAGGATGGTGCAGAAGTTGCACAATGGGGGTGCAACTGGGCAGCTTTGAGCAAGAAGAAGGTAGACTTCATGAGGCTAGACCATGGTGCCCCCAAATCCTCCCATGATGGGGCCCTGCTGATTGCCGGCTCTGAAGGCAGCGGTAGCAGCAAACACGTCTTGATCCACAGCAAGCCCTGTTCGGCCATCAGCAGGAAGCTGCCCAAGAGGAATGCCTTCTACTGCAAGCTCTTCTACAATGTGCTGGAAAGACCCCATGGCTGGGCATTCATCTACCACGCTTACGTGTGAGTAAAGGCAGCCCCAGTTGGCAGATGGATGAACAGATGAACGGGGAGGCTGCAGCGCACCCAGCCCCTGCCCAGCCCAGCCCCAGCTGGCTATCCGCAGCCTCCCAGCCACATTGTGCTGAAACTGGCCATTTGCCTCTTCCTGCCTAATGCTGTGGCCATGAGGCCATGGAACAAGCCAGGCAGCAGTAAGAAACCATTATACTAGTTCCTTACCTCTGCCTGGCTTGTTCTGCAGCCTCATGGCAGCGGCATTGGGTGCGAAAGATGAAGCAGTAAATGGTCGCGACAGATGAAGCAGTAAATGGTCGCAGGTGGTGGCAAACAACCATGTCATGCTGAAACCGAGGGGCCGGAAGGCTCTGGCTGCTGATGGACACTGTGTGCGAGGGCTGATGGTGTCAGGCAGGAGCCGGCCTGGTCCCTGCCTCGCCTTGCATTGCCCTGTGGCAATGGCACCCCTGCCCTGCCCTGCCCTCTGCCTCGCCTTGCCTCACCCGGCAGGATGAGGCTTCTGTCCACCATCCCATCTGCCAGAGACCCCTGGATCTGCTCCAACCCTGTTCAGCCTCCACAGGCATCCCTCCCCATGAGAAACATTGAGGTGACCATGCCCATCCCATCATGCCCACCCAGTCTGCCATGACCACCTCAGCCATGCCCACCAAAATGGCCATTCCCAACCAAAGGCCATGCCCACCTGGTACCCAGCGATACATAAGTGGGATTTGGGTCTCTAAAAGGTTCGCCATCACTGTTCTATGGTGTGCCTAAATATTCCCTCCACTTTATCCCTAGCAAGGCTATTCATATAATATATCTACCAATTGCATGGAGTCCCAAAGTGCATTGAGGCATGCAGTTCACCACAAAATTTTGGCAGGAATTCCTTAAGCTGATTGGCTCTTCACAGAGCCTTCACATACCACCCCAGTACCAATAGAACCTGTGAATGTACAAATTCTGTATTAGAGCAGTACCTGAGGTGTTATGTAAATTACCAACAGATAATTGGGCCAAACTCCTGCCTTTTGCAGAAGTGGCATATAATAACTCCATGCATAGTAGCATGGGATTTACCCCATTCAGAGTAGCCAGCAGAGTGGAGTTTGCAGCGATGCCAACAATCCCTCAGGGACAACCATCCTCAGTATCATTGGCTGAATAGATGGAAACTTTAAAAAAATGTGGTGGGGGGGGTAATGCACAGAGCATTACAAAAGGCTAGAGAGACACAAAAAGGCAAGCAGACAAGAAGAGAGCACTGCAGGGAGAATTCAAAGGGGGAGATAAAGTGTACTTGTCTACAAACTTTCTCAACTTGAGGTAGCCTTGTTAAAAGTTGGGCCCCAAGTATATAGGACCTTTCTGAATTATCTGGATCATAAATCCAGTTACTGTAGAATTACAATTGCCAAAAAACCTTAGGAGTGTCCACCCAGTATTTCACTGCAACTTGCGGAAAGCTTTCCACAATTTGGGGTTAAGACTTATTGTGGAAGCACCTCCTCTTCCCATTTTGGTCAAAGGAAAGGAGCACTATGAAATTAAGGAGAGTCTTACATCCTGATACCACAGAAGGAAAATGCAATATCTAGTAGGCTACCCTTTGGTCAATGTAGAACAGGTGGCAGCAATGGATGTAAAGGCAACTAGATTAGTGTGCAGATTTCATGCTGAGCATCCTGGTTGGCCCAAGTAAGGGAGGTCATGGAAGTGGACAGTGATGTCTAATGTTGTGTGCCCTGTTGTGTTTTATTTTTCAGGACTATCATTCTTCTAGAAGGTCAAACCTGATTTGACTCCATAGTTGCACCTGCTGTTGCTTGCAGTTTGCCAGACAGCAAGGGGGGGCGAGGATGGCCAAATTCCTAAGGAGGGAAGGAAGCTCCAGAATGCAAGAATGCCTTCTGTTGCTGTTTGTTATTTTTTTAATTTGTATTTTAAGTTTTTAAACAAATAAAAAAGTTTTTTATTTTTTAGTTTTATTAGTTTTATTTTTTTAAGAAAGTTCAATAATAATTATTCAACAAAAACGTGTTGTCTGAGCATCTTATTTACTAATACAAATTAAATTCCTAATCCCCAATTTTTTTCTCTAACCATTGATAAAATAGGTCCCAAGTTTGAAAATATTCTGTTTCTTCTTTTTCTTTCAGCCTTAAAGTAAGTCTGTCCATTTCCACACAGTCTATTTTTTATTATTATTATTTTGTCTTCTGGTGGTATTTCTCTGTTTTTCCAATATTGTGCAAATATAATTCTTGTCATTGTTATCACATATAGAATCAAATATGTACTTTGCTTATCAAGTTTTTCTGGCATTATATCTAGTAAAAAAAATTCAGGTTTACAGTCTATGTGTTTCTCTAAATTTTTTTCTAACCAAGTGTGGATTATTGTCCAATATCTCCTTGCTTTAACACATGTCCACCACATATGATAATAAGTACCTGGTTTGGGTTTACAGTTCCGACATTTCTCTGACATGTTTTTAAACATTTTTGCTAATTTGTTGGTGGCAAATGCCATCTATAAAATGTTTTATATAAGTTTTCTATGTATAAAGCTGAGATTGTCAATTTATAGTTTTTCCCAACAAACTTTGCCATTTTTCTAAGTCAATATTATATTAAATTCTTTGCCCATACTATCATTGTCTCTTTTACATCATCTTCCATTTTGAAATTTAATAAGAAATTGTACATTTTTAAAATTAACTTTTCATCAGAAGTTAATAATGTCTGATCAAACACAGTCTGCTCTTTGTAAAATCCATACTGTTTAATATCTTTATCATATCTGACTTGCATTTGTAAATGTGACCACCATGTTAAATCGATGCCCTGACTTTCCATCTCTTGGCTAGATTTTAAGTTCCCTCCAGAATTTAGAATATCTTTGTATGTCCATATTTTATCAAGACTTACTAGATTTAATTGTATGAATGCTTCCATTGTTGAAGCCATCTTGGAATTTTCAAATAAATTTTACATTTTATTTTTCCCCAAGTTAATAATAATGCATTTCTAATGTAGTGGTTTTGGAAGTATATATGTATTTTATTTTTCCCATACCATAGAAAAGCATGCCAACCAAGTTGCAAGTCATGTCCCTCCAGATACAGCAATCTTTTATTTCTAAGAGTTATCCATTCTTTTATCCATGTTAACACTGATGCTTGATAATATAAAACCCAATCTGGCAAGCCAAAGCCTCCATTTTCCTTGGCTTCTTGTAACATTTTCAGTTTAATTTTAGGTTTCTTTCCTTGCCAGATAAATTTTTGAATTATAGAGTTTAAATCTTCAAAGAATTTTTTTCTCCAGTTTTATAGGTATCTTTTGAAATAAAAATAATATTTTTGGTAATATATTCATTTTCACCGTAGCAATTCTTCCTAACATCGACAGTTGAAGATTCTTCCATTTTTCCAAATCAAGCTTTATTTGGTTTAACAATTTAATAAAATTATCTTATTTTATTGTTGAACCATCTTGCTGTCAAATATATTCCCAAATATTTGATCTTTTTGACTATTTGCAATTCTATTTTTTCTGATAATTGCTTTTTTTGTTTATCTGTAAAAAATTTAACTATCACTTTAGTTTTTTCTCTATCTAGTTAATCCTGCTATCTCTCCAAATCGTTCTATCTTTTCCAACAGTTTAGGAATCATCTCTAAAGGTTCCTCTAGAATGAATACCAAATCATCTGCAAATGCTTGCAGTTTGTATGTTTCACCTTTTATTTTCAATCCTTTAATTTCTGGATCTTGCCTAATGTTTCTATTTAAAACTTCCAAAGTTAAGATAAATAGCAATGGGGATAATGGACATCCTTGTTTGTGCCTTTTCATATATCAAAATTCTGTGTGTAATCCCCATTTACAATTACTTTTGCTGTTCTGATATATTGTCTGAATCGTATTTATAAAGTTTTGACCAAAGTCCATTGTTTTTAGTTGTTGAATCATAAATTGCCAAGAAACATTATCAAATGCCTTTTGGGCATCTAAAAATACTAGTGCCAGTTGTTTCCTGGATGAAGTTCATAATATTCCAATATATTTAGTATTACCCTCAAAATATTTTTTATTTGTCTCTTTGGCAAAAATCCATTTTGATCTGGGTATATAAATTCAGTCAAAAATCTTTTCAGCCTCTTAGTTATTATTGAAGTGAAGATTTTATACTCCACATTCAGTAGTGATATTGGTCTATAGCAGTGGTTCTCAACCTTCCTAATGCTGCGACCCTTTAATACAGTTCCTCATGTTTTGGTGACCCCCAATCCCCCATCCAGCTGGCCAGGGAGGGGGGCAGGAAGGCCGCTTCGCCGGCTCTGCCCAGCCTGGTTGGAGAAGCACCATTCCTCTCCCTCTTTCTCTCTCTCTTTCCTCCCTCTCTCTCTTTCTTCTCTCTTTCTCTTTCCTCTCTTTCACTTTCTCTTTCTTCTCTCTCTCTTTCCTCTTTCTCTTTCTCTCTCTCTTTCCTCTCACTTTTCCTGTTTCTCTCTTTCCTCTCTCTCTCTTTCTCTTTCTCTCTTTCCTCTCTCTTTCTCTCTCTCTCTTTCTCTGTTTCCTCCCTCTTTCTCTTTCTCTCTCTTTCCTCTCTCTTTCTCTTTTCTCTCTCTCTTTCTCTCTTATGGCAGCATCGTCAGGGGTCCTCGCTGCCCCCGGCCCGGCCTCCGCTGCATCCTCAGGCAAATGGGTGGGGAGGGGGAGCAGGACGGGAGGCAGCGGCTCTAGAGGCAGTGGCTTGGCAGCATCGCCGGAGGTCCCCACCACCCTTGGCCCAGCCGCTGCCCCCGCCAGGACTCCACGCTGCCCGGCCTCACCCTCCACCCATCGATGGAGCTGTAGTGGAGGCAGTGCCCACCTGAGCCGCCTGGGGAGCAGCAGGAGGAAGAAGAGGAGGAGGGTGAGGAAACAGTCACCCCAGCTGGGACTTCACACTGCCCGGCCTCATCCTCCTCCATCGATGGAGCCGCGTGGGGGCTGGTGCCACATTGCCCGCCTGCCCTCCACCAGCCCAGCTGCTCCCCCCAGGTACTTCTCTTGCTCCAGCACTTGCCCGAGGCACCTGGGGGGCACCAGGAGGAAGAAGGAGAGTAGGAGGGTGAGGAAACTGCCACAGCAGCCCCAGCTGGGACTCCGCAGAGCCTCCAGCAGGCCACTCCCAGCAGAGATCCTGGGGCTTCCCCGGGCAGCTGCAAGACCACGAGGTCCTGGCCGCGCTTCTCTCAGGGGGTAGAGCACCCTGATGCAGGGCCAATCAGGAGCCCTGCAGGAGGTAAGTCCACCTGAGAAAGAGAGAGAAGCGAAAGTGCTTCTCTGTCTCTCTCTCTCTCTCTCTGCAAATGGCTGAGGAGGCCATGTGGAGACAGATGCAGAGCAGTGTCTAGGTTCCTAAGACCATCGGAAATATGTGTTTTCCAATGGTCTTAGGCAACTCCTGTGAAAGGGTCATTCGACCCCCAAAGGGGTCGCGATCCACAGGTTGAGAACCGCTGGTCTATAGTTTTTGATCTGGGTCAGATCTGAGTCCCCTTTTGGTATCAAAGTAACATTAGCTTCTGTCCATGTTTTAAAAAGAGTATTATTACTTGTAGTAACAAAACACAATTAATCTCTGGACTTGCCACTCTGTATACATATCTTCTGCAACAAAAATCAACCTTTAAAATTGAAAATAAAAGAACTGACTTTTTAACAACAAAGATGCAAATTTGAATGGTACAGGATTCAGGAGAGAGAACAACAATTTATTAGGAACCAATTTTAATATTTCAGTCTGATAGATATTAGATTTTTGTGGTTTGTATGTTATTTGTATAGAATTTGTTTGAAGATTAATTTTAGATTTTAATTTTAATATTGCCTTAGCCAACAATTTAAAACAGACTGTATCTAATGTGGCAGTCAATGTGATTGTTTTAAAGGCTAATTAAGTCCAGAGTGGTTTTCTAAACACTATTAAATCAGACATATAGAAATTTGAAATTAATGCCAAATTTCAGATAGTTTACTGTATTCAAGGAATGACTGAGATACAGCATTCATTTTGTTTCTGTATCTGTTTCATCCTGTTTACAACAGATTTCCTCAGCCTGCAACTACTTCCTTGTGGCTTCAAATACTTTTCAAAAATTCAATAGTAGAGCTCTATAGAGATTCTCAGCCATCCAGGTCATAGTTGTCTCAAAGGTGTTTTTTCAAAAGGCAGCTGGATTATTTTCCCTTGAGGAGGAAGAAGAAGAAGACATTTCACTTCTCATCTAAGATGCTTTATCAGATATTACTGGATGGTGATGGGGGATGGAAGGATAGATACTGACAGTTGAGACTGGATGGTGGACATATTGAAGGATAGGTTCTGATAGGATGGTGGGAAGATGGAAGGAGTGTATTTCTTTGCATTCATCTGGTCATTAGCACTCTCTCTGAGCGGTTTATATGTGCCCTCAGGGTCACTTGAATCAGAGTGCAAATAGTTATGGAATCTTCATGAAACTGCTGAAAGGACTGCGTTGTAGGCAGGGGATAGGTGGTATCATATTCCTCACCCTCTGTTGAGGGAGGGTGTTTAATTCTAACATAGATGGACTTTTTTAACCCCTCTATTGTATTTTAAAAAGGTCAGGCAGAGGTCCAATATGGCACAAATGTGATCTGGGCTGAGATTAGTTCTATTGCCTAATATGTTGGGTAATTATTTTAAGATAATTAAGAGTCACTATAGAAAATATTAGCATGTGTGGAAATGGACAGGCTCACAATGGTATTGAAAGACAAATGTGGATCAGTTTATTTCAAAACCTGGGATAAATTTTACTGCTGGAGGGATTTGAGGAGGACGAAGGTTAATGTTAAGATACAAATATATGTTATCTTAGAATAAGTACTGTATATAAAACTTAGATGTATAATTAGAGATGAAGAATTGATTGTAAAGTGTGGAACAACTTGATAAGAATGTATATACTGGAATGTCATGTTACATCCAATGTTTTTTTTAATTGTATTATAAA